CACTTGATAGTGAGATGGGTAGCATATAGAATTTAATAATAGCATTTAGGCTTATATACCACCCTGTAGCACTCTATAGCACTCTCTGGACAATTTACAGTGTAGAAGCATTATTTGGATATTGCCCTCAACAATCTGGGTCCTCATTTTACTGACCTTGGAAGGATGGAAGTCTGAGTCATCCTTGAGCCCCATCAGGATCAAACCTCAGGCTGTGGCAGAGTTTGCCTGCAATACTGCACTTTAACTACTGCAGGACCAGGGGTCTTATAAAAATTTAATTAATAAATAAACCAAGGTCTGGGTTAGTTTAGCATCCTTGGGTCAAACATGTAGTGGCCTGGTTGAGAATTCAGCCATATACATTGGTCTGATATTCTCCAAGCAACTGGATCTTTCTTTAGGGTACATAATACTTGTTTTTACCCCTCAATTTCTATCATCTTCTCTTTTCAGGTAGAATTGTCTAGTGAGCTCTTCAATGCATTGGTCCTTAATCTTTGTCAGATGGCTCAAACGTTTGAAAGTTCGGTACATTATGCAAAGCTGATCCTGACTCTGTTGACCAAATATCAAAATGATGTGAGTAATTACCCCAAAACATGGATCGCCCCAACTGTTGCATATCCTGGTATAATTGGTGTAACGAATCTCTTTTAGTAACTTCTATATAAGCATATAGAGTAGTACACTTGTTTCATTTACTATTTAACGTATAGTTTTGATCTCTCTTGAAAAAAGAGGCCCTAGTTATCCACGGTAGTGCAGAATTGCAATTCCTCTTGGAATGTGATTTTTTTTTAACAGACAAGGGTCTACTCCTGGCTACTCCTACTGTTCAGGAACTGGATTGCAGGAAAATGGCAGAGTTAATCTCAACAAAGATAATGAAGGATTTATAATCGACACTATTATGAATTAGCTTGTATTTTGTGTCCCCACTCTAGATCACATTGGGTCACCAGCACCATTTATCATGTGCCCTGGACCTTAACAAAACCATCTTAAAGAAATCTCTTCAGGCTGCGTTAAAGAGAGTGACTTCCAGGTGAAAAATGTAAGGAGGTTTTCTTTCTCCTGCAATGGCTCTGGAATCAAATATGCCTTTGGACTCTGGGACACCTCTGCTTATTTCTTTTGATCAATTTGCTCAATGCAACTCATACTTGTTAAGTTAAAATTTAAATATGTTCAAAATAGGTTATGTGCATTGCCTTGGATTGGTATGAGTTACACTTGAGGTATGTAGCCTATACATTTTATAAATACATAAATAAAATTTCATAGGCACATTTTTTTCATTTTTAAATGAAACCAATGAGAACATATAGGCAGTGAAAACCTCAGGTTGTCATTCCATTGCTGTGGCTAGTGATCTGTGTGCCTCATGGGCGACTCTAAGGAAAGACCTTGATTTTCCTCCAGGAGAAGCCAATAGTGTTGAAAGAGTAAGAAAGGCCTAGATATCATCTGGGGCATAAAAGGGAAAGCTGAGGAACACAAGAGTTTCAAACTGTCTGCAACTGAGTTCTTTTTATTCACTAAATGTTCTCTTTATTCCTACGAATGTTTCACTTCCATTATGTACCACTCTGACACTTAACAACCAATCTTAAATTCCATATTCACATAAAACTTCTATGACTCATGAAACTCATAAAACGTCTATTAACATGCTTATTTCTCATATTCAGCTTTTCTTACAACTTTGAATATGGCAACGGACTAGGATTAAGACAGGCAACTGGCCTGAAAATTCAAATGAAATATATTTTGGACAAGTGTATTAACTACAACATAGTGAACTTACGGTATTTAAAATATGGCTTGTGATGTTTCTCAGACTAAATTCACCTTATATATTAACAATCCAGAAGACCCATGGCAATGTTAGATTGCCCCCATCTCTTGCCTCTAGGTCCTACCCACCTAGCAGGTTGAAAGCGAATAAATAGATACAGTAGGTACCGCCATTTTGGAGGTGAGAAAATGCTGGCTGGTCCTGCTGGGGAACTGGAACCAGTGCTGGATTTGCCTAGATGCAATCAACAGAGGAATGGTGGAGGAAAGCCCTGGAGGGCTAGACTGTGTGAAGTAGTTTGCGTTCTTGTGGTGCAATGGTGCAACAAATGGACTAACAACTGTCCTGCCGGGACTTCTACCATGTGTATAACATTGTAGCCTCCCTGGCTTTGTATGCCATAGAATGAATGAATGAATGAATGAATGAATGAATGAATGAATGAATGATACTGCAACTTAGCGATGTGGCTTTGGGGGTTGGCAGTGTGTTGTACTGGTTCTCAAGCCCTTGGCCCCTGCTTGGTAGAGTACAGCAGGGTTTGGTACTTTCTCATCTGTGTTAAATCTACAGGAAGATGCTGTTGACTACTAACTGACAGTTTGGGTTAACATATTATCAGTATGCAGATGATGCAAACAGTAGCTTTATATCTCTATCCTGGGTTGTTTGAGTGATGCTTTGGAGGTCCTGTCTCAGTGTCTGGAGGTTGTGGAAGTCTATCTAGGAACAACAGGGTTCGACTCTTCCCTAGTAGGATTGAGTGACTCTGGGTTTTAGAGCTTCCAGAGGTTCTGATGATCTTCCATCTCTAGCTCTGGGTGGGGTCTACTTGAGAGTCCTTCTGATCTTGCGACTCCTACTTGAAGAGCAGGTGGGAGCCATAGGCACCAAGGGCCTTTGCACAGCTAGGGATTGTGTGCCAATTGTCCCTGTTCTTGAAATGGGTCATGTCCCAATTTTTACAATAGCAATCTGCTCTATATGGGAATACATTTGAAGAGGATTTAGAACTTCAACTGGTGTAGAATGGAGGGCATGAGCAATTACAGGCATCCATCATTGCTACTGTACCTGTGACACCTGTACTCTGCCAGCTGCATGGGTTGCCAGTATGCTTCAGGATTCACTTTAAAGTACTAGAGACTGGAACTACAAATCAATTTGAAAAATTACAACTACAAAAAGACACATTTTCGGCACTGTCAGGTTTGCCATCATTCTGATAAAACTATCCAATTCATTTGTTAATAATTAAATTGTCATATCCGCATGTCATGTTGAGAGGAGTATGTTCATAGACAAGTACAGGTAGTCCTTGAGTTACAACCACTTACTCAGCAACCATTCAAATTGACAATGGTGCTGATTGAGGAGTTCTTAGAAATCAGTCCTCAAGAGTTTTGGGTGTTGTGGCATTCCTCTAGGGCAGGAGAGTCAAACTCAAGGCCCGCGGTCTGGATCCTGCCTGTGGGGTGCTTAGATCTGGTCCGCGGGGCTGCTCTGGAAACAGCTAAGGACCGGCCCGTGGTGCCTCTGCCAGCAAAAATGGGGCTCAGGAGGGCCGCAGGCAGCTCTCCCGAGCTCGGTTTTTGCTGGCAAGAGGGTTACAGGAGGCTGTCGCAACCGAAAATAGAGCTCAGGAGCTTGTTTTCGCTGGAAGGGCGCTCAGGCCACCACGGGCACCCCAACATGAGTGTTGTTGAGCTGGTCATGCCCAGCCTAGCCCCCCGAGGTAAAACACAGCCCTGATGTGGCCCTCAATGAAATCGAGTTTGACACCCCTGCTCTAGTGTCACGATCTGGGTGTTTGGTGTCTGGCTCACAATTCCGATGTTGCAGTGAGCCGTGGTCATGTGATTTCCGGCATTCTGTGTGTGCTTCCAAGAAGCCCACAAAGTCAATAGGGAATTCAGCAGGAAGTCGGAAGTTGCTTGTGCTCCTGCTACTTTTTCGCCTGCCCATGCTCTGTTGTGCCTGCCTACATCTTCTATCTATGACCTGTAGGGTCTATGATAATCCCTAGCAGTAACCACTACCTCCTGTACTTTTTAGAGCCTTCCTGTAGTGGTTGTGCCCATTTGCCCATGCTCTGTAGTGCCTGTGTATGGCAGCACCTACGCACCTGCTTGCCCAGAATAGCATCAGTCTGTGGCACCCGACCATGGTATCCATAGCTGCTTGCCTGGCATAAAGGATGAAGAGTCTTCCCTTTCTCTGCCAGCTGCCTTATCCCCGCATCCTTTTTCAAATAGTTTTTGCATACCTAAATACAGTTCTGGCATCAGAATTCAACTGATGAGACTAGTACATAAATAAAAAAGGTTTTCACTTCTTACTTATATATCTCATTTGATCCCTCCTATTTGGCTCTAGCTCACATTCTATCTCAATAGATGCTGTAATTAAAGGGACACCATTTCAGAAAAAAACAACTTTTCTTGAAACATATACAAGTTTAATTATGCAGCAAAGTGTTACACATAAAATAGCCCATATCCCTTCCCAAGCATAAATTTTGCTCATACAAGGAAGAACACTTGCATAAACATGAATAATTTTAACAGCAATTTAAATATATATTGTGTGTTAACATTTACATTTATGAATATATTAAAGCATCCATAGAATGGATGAAATTTGAAGCTTTTTTTAAAAAACGACCAAAAGAACCTCGGTCTATGTGATTTATTCAGAATGTAGTTTATCTGTATGCACTCTAGTTCATTCCAGATGTCTAGTTTTGTTTGTTTGGTGTTTCTTTTTATTTCTATACTATTTTAAGGCGTAAGCTAGTTTTTGTCTCTCTTACCTCAAACCATTAATTCTGTTCAATAGTATAGGCAGAAAGAAAAGTCTCATATGAAGTATTTGGACTTGGTTGTCCATATCTAAGTGGTTGCAAGATTGTGTATCTTCACAGAGCAGCAAACTGGTGCAGATATTTCAGATAATGGAACTGCAGGGCTTAAAATATCAGCTCTTTAAAGCATAAATTAGTCCAACACTGAGAAATTAAAGAAGTATCCTAGGAGAGATCATAATTCTAAAATCAATGAAATTCTCACCATTGGAATCCAGGTGTGCAGAGTGAGAACTAACAAAGTTTATTTTATTTTTGGGCCCCCAAAAGGTGAAATGTGATTAAAACATGCTTGCATATTCCACAGGACCTGAAGGAGAAAGTCCACCAATTGACTCAGGGGAATGTTCTGTTGACATTTGATCTTAATGGAAATGTTCTGTTGACATCTCTGCTTATTCTGGGCAGCTTCACTGCGGAATATATTGTGTTCATTCCTTCGTGCAAACTTTGGGCAGTGTTGCTTTCATGAATCTGAACAGTCACAAGAAAAGAAAAACACCCTTTTAAAAAATCTTTCAGCTGACCACATTTCATTTTAAATACTGTACAAGAAAATATGTGTATGCGTAAATATGTGTATTTATGTTATGGGCTCGTAATTTAATGTGTGCATATGTTCTGATGTAGCCAAACTAACATGTTTTTTAAAATAAGTTTTACTTGAAGTGCTGTCAAGTCCTGAGTCTTGCTGGGCCATAACAGAAATCAAAGTGAGAGCAACTTTTTGCCTTCCTCTTCCCATTATTCTATAAAATTACATTCCTTCATTAAGAATAAGAGCAATCAAAGGCAAGTATACGTGTCCCAGGATAATGTTGCAGGATCTAATCTGGGTAGATCACTGGGACCAGAGGTTTAGTATGCTGAGCTTTCGAACTCATGCTGGAGCCCATCTTAAGGGAACTTCTCTCTAGCAGAATGAGCTGTTGTCTATGTGGTGTTTATAGTGCCAGTTGTATGTGGTTTTAAGATATTGATTGGATGTGTTGACGGCTGACTTTTAAGTTGTTAGCTGTCTTTTGCTTGAGCTGGCCAGCCCTCACCTTCTAAGTACTTGATAGGCTGGTGGTAAAACAGCATTCTTGTTGACTCACGAGGTGCCTGTTTCCCAGGCTTCGATTCATATCCCTGGCTGTTTTTGTGCCTGTTCCTCCAACTTTTACAACTACTAAGATTGTTGGAGGAGCAGGCACAAAAATAGCCAGGGGAGTCCGGCATTATTTTTTCTGTTCTAAACTTATTCGGTATGCTGCTATAAATTTAAGTAAACAAAACACAATGATGCTACTTTCATTTCTCTCTGTGAAAACAGGTTGAGTAAGAATGTGTATGTTATTAAGGAACCCACAGGAAAGATAATTTACCAGCATTCCAACAGCAATGATTAACTATATTTCCTATAGTCTACATTAAATGCTGAGTAATGAGACATAGGATTGCATGATACTACTTTTCAGTAATTTTGAGGACAACAGTTAGTAAAGTTTAGAATCTAGTTTGAAGATTAATTCTACATGGACATAATTAATGAATTTGTTTTTTTTTTCTTGAAAGAATTATTGCTTTAATCCAAGCCCATGCCCCAGAATCTTTGCACAATCATTTACAAATATATGAGTTGAGTAGGATGATAGCAAAGAAAATAATTATAAAAACTGCAGTACTTGAATAATGAATTTTCTGCAAGGAAGAAACTGTTCACGATCAAAAAAATTTCCCCACTTGTTGAAGTGGGTATCTTACCTGTAAGTTTATTATTCTACAGTTTGGGTTATCATCAAAAATCTGGTCATCTGCCACTATTAAGAAGAGAGGGTCATTTTAGTATATACTGTAAGTATTCCTGCCTTTGGGCCAATTTACATGCTAACATTTTAGCTGAGCTTCTAAACACCATGTGTACAACTAAAATTAAAATGGAAAACATATTCTATGGAAACATCTCTCAGATATCCATGATGATATGTAATTCCTGACTGAATACACATTAATTAGCATACTTGGCCTGCTTGTGTTTACAGTTTGATGAAGGTGACACTCAAATGTTTGATTCAAACTTGCATATCATCTTTTTCCTGCACTGTGGACTTCAAGTTTGAAAGTCATCTCGGGTACTGTGAGGAATATAAAACGAAATGCTAACCTCCTGGCCTTAATGCTTGCAATAAATTGATATTCAGCATTAATAAAGATGTTAATAGACCATATTTTATGTTTTGCGGGATAATTGAAAATTTGCATCCACTTCTGCAACAAGTCACACTGATGGAGATGGTGTCATATGTTTTACATCCGTTGAATTTCTGGATGCATATCCACATCCGGTCTATACGTGAAGATCCTAATCTAGGAAGAAAATCAGCCTATGAAAGAAGTATGGGGTTCTCCCTATATCTTTGTTTATAATATATTCTATATTATTGTTGCATGCTGCAGAAAATGGATTAAAGACGGACATTATTAACTGAAAAAAAAAGATTCTCAGATACACTGCTAAGTGTAGGATGTGTGAAAACATTAATGAAGAGGGACAAAGGGAAGGCATGTTTTCTCTTTTTCCATTAGAGATATGAAACTTGTAGCCTCTTTTAGATGTTGCCGAACTACAATACCCAGCAGATCAATTTCTAGCCTAGTCAATGGTGTGGGATGTGGATGTTGTAGTTCAGCAACATATGGAAGAGGCTACAGTACTGACATATATGCATCTGGCCCAAACTGAAAAGCTGTTACACTTTCTCTGCACTCCATCTCACCCAAAGCCAGGAAGCATCCAGCACAAAAGAAAAATCCTATGGCAAGATCCCTGCTGGAAAAATTCATAGCGCTCAGAGATAAATAGCACTTTTCCAAGTCAAATCCATGTTTCCATGTTTTCATTGTTCATATTTGCATTAAGTGAATCCAAAACAGGGTAAAAGAACATGACTTTTAGGCATTCTCTTCTCCCCTTTTTATGTTGTGAGAGATATTCTCTGTATATACCCTGCAGGTCATAGGCTCTTGGCAGCAAATTCTGTAGTTTTCTCTCTTACTAATAGTGTATAAAACAATTAATGTCTACTGATGCTAATGTATTGATGGATACAGCTAGTCCTCAACTTACAACAGTTCATTTAGTGATTGTTCAAAGTTACAACGGCACTGAAAATGATTTATGACCATTTTTCACACTTACAACCACTGCAGCATCCCCATGAAATTCAGATGCTTGGCAACAGATTCATATATATGACGATTGCAATATCCTGGGGTCATGTGATCAGCTTTTGCAACCTTCTGACAAGCAAAGTGAATGGGCACTTAAGCCCAATTAACTTTACAACTATGTTACTAACAAATGCAGTGATTCACTTAACAACTCTGGCAAGAAAGGTCATAAAATGGGGCAAAACTCATTTAACAAATGTTTCCCTTAGCAACATATATTTTGGGCTCATTTGTAGTCGTAACTTGAAGATTAACCCTTGATACTTACCTAGAAAAAGTTACCTATTGCATTTGACTATTTTGCAAGGATTTTTTTAACCTAAAGTATATGCTATATTAGAAACCAGCATACTGTAATGCAAAGAAAAAAAATACCAGACTCTTGTATTGCCTTTATTTTCAAAATAGTCTGGGATTTATTTATGTGAAAGTCTTCCAGAAGGTCTATTTTTCCATGTCTATAAAATAGAATAATTGTAATTGATAGTTCAGCAGGATATACAGAGATTATGCCAAGGGAAAAAAGGCCTTGATTTCTACCCACCTCTTAGTCAATCTACATTACATGCTTATTTCTCTTTAATAAATGGAGTAATGTAGAAATCAATTGATACACAAAAGCAGCTCTTGGATAGAAGCCCCAGTTCTTGCTATTTCAACCTCACAAAGGCCTTTTCTCTAATCACAATACAGTTTAAAGTGTAAAATGAATATGAAACCTCAAAGCCTGTCCAGATAATTTCATCTTGGAATGCAGTTCTCATACTTTCTTAATATCATATGCTATATTTGCATATGCATAAGCTACATTCATATTCATTAGTATTCTAATGATATGGTATAAAACATGCATGAAAATCTGAGCTGTAGGAAGACAAAAGAAGTGCTAAACGTACCTCTCCTCTTTCTCTTGGTGAGCACCACGACAACTAATGTGAAGGCAGACAAAATTGTTACACCAACAGCAATGAAAACCAGAACCCAGACAACTTGGTTAACCCTGCAATAATCACAGTTGCATTAATTAAAACAAGTTAATGTTGAATTTGGCAGATTACCTTTGTATGTGAAGCACAAAGTTATATTTTACATGGGTTTCAGAGGAAAACAGAAAAATGAAAACAGTTTGAACTTGGTAGCATATTACCGGAGTGAAAGAAAAAGATCTACAGACAACCATGCTAAATACTCTACTGTGAATCAGAACACTTCCAAGCTGTAAAAAATAGGTCTGGGAATGCTCAAAAATATAATAACCTGTTAATGGAAGAGGCAAAATCTACAACTGTTATCTTTGCTTTGATAATTGGTTGAAACTAAATGCAGTGTCTCAAAGTGAATAAGTAAATAGATCCCACAGCATGCACCATCTCTTGATTAATCTTTTCAAACTGCAATTTAAATGGTTGATACCTTTGTTCATCTTCACTGGATGCAGTCCCGATATCCTCCTTTTGCTGATCTGAAAATAAAATCATAACAAAAAAAGGAAACTGAAGTATTGACAGTGTCATTGCTGCTCTTCATAGATGAGTTTTAGGTTTTCCTTTAAAAAAAAAAACTACACCGCACAACATCTATTTCTTTTTCTAAAACTCCTTTTTTGCCCAGCAAGATCTAAACATGAGCACAAACAGTTGTAGACTGAAGTAGACAATGCGCAAGTTGTTGTATCTTAAGCTCAGAAGCTTTCTGGTATGTGAAGGCATTGCCATTCCCCATCCCAATCCCCATTATCTGTTAGTGCTCACCTTTTTGAACAATCACCCTGATGTTTCTTAAAGGGATTATATTGGGGCCATCAAGAACCCCAAACCAATATATCCCTGTATCTTCTGATTGGAGAGCTGACATGAAGACATAAATACATCCGTCTCCCAAATCATTTACAATGATACGTTGATCTGGTTGTGTAGTGAGACCTTTCCATCTTGATCCGGAGAAGCTTATGAGCTTTTCAAGACTGCATTCTTCTGGCAGTTCCTCTTTGCACCAAACTCTCTCTGCTTGCGCATGTTGCTGGGAACAAAAAGCCTTGACACTGAGAGATTCTCCTTGTACCTTGATCACCTCTTGCATCGTCATTCCTGATATGGTGGAAGTAAACGGCATCCTCATTGTTGGAGGTGGGGCAGTTTTATTAGGCAAGAAATGAACTAGGAAAAGAGCAGTTTGAAAAAAAAAAGGGTAAGTTTGGTCTTTCAAATATAGCAGTCTTATGCCTTACTTGTTACAGCAATAAGTATGGAAAGCATTCAACACAGTAAGGAGAATGAAGCGTCTGAATAATTAAAAGAAATTGTGACTTTTGTGAGTTCGCATGGCCCTTTAGGAATTGTCTCTACACGTATGTGCAGGTATAGTTGTTTTTGAAATTACTTAGGATTTTCCATTCAATAGCATCTCATTAATAGATCTTAGCTGGCTCAGCGGAAGTCATTCAGGGACTTCACGAAAAAAAAAAACACCCCAGTATATACTATGAAAAAGGGCATTTGCCTAGGTTTGACATCAGGGCATTCAAGTGGCAAAAATAGGTCAAAATGACCCTGCAGTAAACTATGTCCCCCTTTTAAATGTGTACTGCCCACATGGCACAGGTATAACAAGGATAGGGCTTCAAAGGTACAGTTTTTATCCAATCTCTTTTCCCTTAGAGATGCACCTGTTCAGAATATTAAACTGATGATGAAAATGAAATGGGATAATACAGGTTATGTTTGGGTATTGTAACAAAAAATGGCATTCTGACAAAAATCGAGGATAGGATACAACAACACAGCTGCCACAACACATGTTCCTTCTGGAGCAAACTCAGCATGGTGGTGGAGGGAGGGGTAGGTACAGAGATAGTCTTCCTGAACTATGGATATATTTTAAAATATGCCTATTTACCTGAGGCTCAAGGTGAACCAAGGTATGTATCAAATATAAGATTGTCCATCACAAATCCCCATACATACGGCTTCTTAGTCTCTGCCAACCAGAGAAAATATGGTACCAGCATCAATGTCACATCCCTATATTCTGAAAGTCCTTTTATCTGAGAAATAGTTACCCTCCCTTCCCCCTTGTCCACCAATGCTCACCGTGTTCAACATAATGAACTACCACTTTGATTGAGTTTATGGAAACCATCTTCATACCGCTTAGAATTCCAAACCAGTATCTCCCTGAATCTTCAATTTGGAGATTCTTCATGAGTAAAGAAATGCAACCATTCACTACACCTTCAAGCACGATCTTTTGTTTTGCTTTAGAAGTCATATATTGCCATCCTAATTCATTTTGTTGTTTTTCTTTGCACCAAACGGGCTGTCCTTGCAAATATTGATAGGCGCAGAAAGCTTTTATTCTGAGGGAGGTTCCTTGAGTTAGTACCACCTCTTTTGGGCTCTTTCCTGTGTTTTGCAAACTTGCAGTAGAAGGACTTGGGAATAAGTAAGATGTACAGGAAGCAAAAAGACCTGGAACAAAAGCAGTATTGATCAAATTGACAGATCAAATACAACTCAAGCCTTGGCAATACAAGTTCTCCATAGGAGGCACAAAAGTTTCCTAGCTTCAACAGGATTGAATGAATGTATATTTGGAATTATCTGGGACAGCCCAGCCACTCACAGAAAGATGCCCTAAAGGAGGAAGAATATACATCCAATCTACATCTCTTTTGTATATGTTTTGCAGAGGATGGAACTTACCTGTCACTGTTTTTGAGATGGCCTGAAACCTTTTGCTACATGTGAGTTCAGCTCAATTGTGGTGTTAAAGTAAGCAATGGAATGTCAGATTGCTGAACCCCAAAAGGTTTTTCTCAAAAGACTATCTCAAAAAGCCTTGACAAACACGATGTGTTTTTAACGCATTACAAACCTTAATTCAGAATCTATTTGTAACCTACTGTACATGTACACAAAACCAGTCTGTCTTTCCCTCCCTCCCTGAATTTCATCCCAATTTAAATCCCACATCAGTGTAGTCATTAAACTTTATGTATCTGTTGAACGGTGGCCCTTTAATAAAATGTGACAGTTTGGAAAGATCTACCAGATTGATCCTGATTTTTGACTACTGCCTAGTCATTGCTGGCCATCTATTAATAGAATTCTCCTCTAATGACTTTTTTGACAAAAAAATGCCCATCTTTTTTCTTAAAAAGGTATTTGTTGATAGCACTAAATCTTTTACCGGGCCTGAAAGTACATCTGGCTAAACCGATTTTAATCTCTTAGAAAGGGGCACATCCCTTTTGTGACCACAAGATCCCTGCAATTGATGGGGCTAAAAAATGACCCCACTTTGTATTTTTGACTTGAGTTAAAAGGAGAAGTGGATATCTTAAGCCTCTCTCTATAGATGCTAAAAGTACCAATCTCATCACTTAAAACTTCTGAAGTCACTTCCCCAAACTATTCCTGGCTCTTCACATGCATGGATTCAGGAGTAGCCCCTAAAGCCAAAAGAAGTTGCTCTCCTATCTTATTATCTTGGTATAAATCCCTAATCTTATTAGTGAAGTGTAAGAACAAAATCCATACACCACACGTGTATTAAGTATGAATGAAGCCTGAGTGGGAATGTGTAGAATTGGGTATTTTCCCATTCTTAATGGGAAAAAAAATAGGAAGAAAACATAACATTCATTTGCAACAATTCTTAGAAAATGGATAAGCCGAGCCTCACAATATCATCGAACTTCTATATCGACCAAGAAAAGATAGTATTCAGTATCATACCTACGAGCATCAACAGAAGTTGCAGGCCTGGGAAACCTTCCATCTTGTAACTGAATAGAGCAGAGAAGGCTGTGGGTAAATATGCCCTTGCAGGAAGGAAATAAATTCCCTTCGTCATTGTCACTGTTGGTCTGGAGCTGTGTGAAAATGCTTTACAATGCCAATAATTGTAATGTTGGCAAATTGACTGACGTGGATACATCTTAACATGTGTGCATACAGATTCACATATGTGTGATTCTTGAATAGTGGAGTAGTGGTGGAAATGTTCATCACTTTGAGATACTTTTTAAACAAACAAATCTGTATGAAAATAATAGTGACTGCCTCTGAGTAACTCCATTCATTCATTCATTCATTCATTCATTCATTCATTCATTCATTCATTCCATGTGACTACCCATCTCATATATGACTCTGAGCTGCTAAAAGAATAAAAACATCATAAAAATATAAATAGCAAATAGAAGATGAAACCAACCAGCATGGTTGACAAGCTTAGTTACACAACCTGGACCCCAAGCTTGGCAACAAACCCAAGTTTTTAAGGCCTCACAGAAAGTCAGTAAGATTGGGGCAAGTCTAAACTGGTGAAATTATGTTCCAGAGGGCAGATGCCACAACAGAAAAAACCCTCCTCAAGAACCTGCCAGGTGCACTTCCCAGTAGATAGGACCTGGGGCGTGCTTCCCCCCACCCCAATGAATCTTACAGGATAGGTAATACAACTGGGGACAGATGGTGGTTCTGCAAGGAACTCAGCCCCATCTCATGTTGGTGGCTATGTTCCAGGAAATATTAAAGTTAGGGTTTGTTTTTATATTTAATTAAATATCACGGTAATATAATTTGTAAAGGTGTTTTAAATAATTTCCTGGCTCTTTTATATTCAAAATTACAGTTTGGTAACCAGTTTCAGATATCTATGAGTGTGCATCCAGAGGCTTTGGAGGCTACTGAATGCTCTTCTGAGACTTCCAATTCTACATCTTTATATTAGAGAAAGATGCTTTTGCTATTTGCCTCTTTAGGCATCAGATTCATGAGGTAAGTTGTCTGATTAGTCATTCCATGTTGCCCATAATCGCACACTCAAAAATATTACAGGGAGGGCGGTGTAAAGGTTTGTGATGTTTGAGTGTGTGCGTGTTTGTAGGATTTGCTATTTTTTATCACTTCACTAATTTATGAAGTTAGCTTATAAAGAACATGTTGTACTTATTACTGATATCCAAAAGTTTATGTGAAAGTCAGTGGATGTACATGAACATATATGATGGAGGTGAGATGACGTTAGACAGGCAATAAAATTACATTTATGGCTAATATAAGACGAGATCCGAATTCAGCCCTAGCATTCGTAACAGCTTGTAACACACATCATCCAGAGGGTTTTTCCTTCTGTTATTTTGCTGTATGAGGAGAAAAAGGGCTCGGCACTCGATTCTTACCTTATCAGAGGAAATTAAGGTTGTTTTGTTCCTGTGCTGCCAATGAATAAACTAAGCAAAATGATACTTCAGACAAGCAGGGGAAATATAAACCACAACCAAGAGAAGAAAGGGGGTTGTCCTATTTTTATAGCAAGACTATTGTGCAACTAGGAAACAGGCCTTGGACACTGGAAATGAGGTTGGACTTCCATGTGCTCAGGCAGAAGTTTCAGTTAATTATATCTCCCTCACCCCACCCTGCAGCAATTTCTCAGCAGCCAGTTCAGTAGAAGGGGTTCATGCCACACAGTCACAAAAAACGTTTCCTAACTACCAGGGACATTTTGTTCTAGGTAGAGTGATTGACCCCTGACAAATCACCACCCAGAATTGGCATTTGGAGGACTTGTTATTAAGGCATGGACTGATGAGTCTTCTACATAGATCACCCTTCACAGGTTTTCCTGGCAGAGCCATTGCTGGCTGCTGATTATTGGGGATCAGCATGATGGAAGTTGCAGTCCAATAAGTTAGCTTTGGGGTGTAAACTTTCAAAGATAACAGTGAATGTCACCCACATTTTCCTAGGAATACACCCCACTGACTGAACATAATAG